CCATTGAAGTGCAAAGGCACAATGAGTGGCGCTGACCAGGATTCACACCCACTTGCATGTCAGCCTCACACTATGCTGCTAAGTGGGGCATGGTGCTGCTGACTCACAACAGGAGAGTAGAAGGAGCTGGTCCTGGGCCACACAGCCAGAGACCTGCGAGAGCTTTGGAGCCCTCAGTCCCTTCCCCTGGGCTGCAGGGTGAGGCCCTGACGAGGTCTGCAGAGGGCAACTGCGTTCAGGGCTCCAGAGTGTGCTAACTTGGGAGGCTACACCTTCTGTCCTTAAAAACCTTGCAGAAGGCCTGGCTTCCCAACCAGCGCCCCAGGTACCCGAGCGTGAAAACCAGCCTCAAGTCTTAAGGAGCCAGGGCTTGTTAATTGGAGTAAAAACTGCATGATCCAGTTTTGATCGCCCACTCACTCACGAGGCCTAGTAGCAAATGGCTTTCAGCTGCTGCCAAAAAAAAATAAATTCACCTTCAAAGAGGAGTGGCTTTGCCCCTTCCTCCCCCACCAGAAAACCAGTAAGAACAGGAGGCAGTGAGGAGAGGCGAACTCCAGGGAACCCCTGGAATAGGCTCAACCCCCAGCGGGGCCTCCACGAGTGAATACCTCCGTACCCATGATTGTTCTATAAACCTCTAGGCCTCATCACAGCCCCACCTTGTGGTTTCGCTGAGTTTGGACGGTGGGTTTTGGGGGATTGCCCTGAAGGAGAACAACACAGCCGCCGCCCCCACAGTCTGCAGAGCACCTGAAGATGCCCTGCCCTGCTCCATCCCCACTCCCAGCCTCCCCACCACAGGTACCCATGCACCAAAACACATACAGTTTCTCCTTAATGCAAATTAGATGGAAATATAACAGCATTCCCAAAATATACTGTTGGGGCTCAGAAAATATGGCACCTTGACGAGAAGGGGCCCCAAGGTCTCTCTGACGTTCCCCCAGTCCCGCGTCTCTCCAAAGCACAGGATGAGGCTGTTCTCAGACTTTCCTTAACTACCTAGAAACCAGACCTGCCAAGGGGAACACAATGGCCTTCCCTGAAACGTTATTAACCGGAGAAGATTAAAACTCACATCACAAAGGAAGAGGCTGAAATCAAACACCACACCTAGAACCCAGAGGAACTTCCTCCCAAACCATTGTCTGTTCTTCAGTCCCGTTCAACTCCCAAAGAGAATTATTCACTAACCATTGTCCGAACAAGGGGCCTCTTCATTTCATTTTCTCCAAAGAATCACTGACTACGCCTCAAAGAGGTGGTTTCTCCACCACCTCTTCCCCCACGAAGAAGGATGTGGCAGGTTCTGGACCCCTCTGCGTTACTGGGTAATCACTGCCCGGGGACTCCTGCGCTGTGCAGTTAGAGTACATTTTGTGAGCCTTTTCTCTTATGAATCTGCCTTTTGTCCGCTGATTTTTCAGCTAAGCTTCAGAGGGCAAAGGGAAGCTTTCTCTTCCTAACCCAGAATCCGACCACTTCTCAGCCCTTCCACTGCCACCCCCGGCCGCAGTCCCCGGCATCTCCTGCCCAGGGGACTTAGTTCCACTCTGTGCTGTCTGCTCCCACCACAACCTCCCCACCTGGGTGACGCTGCAGGGCCCCCTCCCACTACATGGCCCCTGCACAGACCATACTCTTCCCAAGGTCCAGAGCTCCCTGTGCCTGGCCTCCAGCCTCTTTACGGTTTCTGAAACACACACCGGTGCGTCCTCGCTCTCCCTGACTTGTCACCTGTATTTTTCTCTCCCTGCTGGGATGGAGCCCTGCAAGGTAGGCATTTTCATGTGCTGGGATATCTGCAGCCCCTGGAACATCCCTGGCTCATAATAGACACCGAGCTTTGCTGAATAAGTGAATGAACGGAAGACTGAAGGAGCAAGCTTGCTTTTACACAGCCATCTCTCAGAGCACACATGCGTCTATCTGCACGGGTCTGTCGTGTTGGGTTCTAGGGTGGGGAGGAGGGTCACTGAGTTTCTTCACTCATTCGCCTGGTGTTGGTGTGCCCCTCCCTTTTGACTATAGCTTACCTGGCTTGCACCTTCTTCCTCACTGCCCCAAGGCCTGACCTGGAGTCCGGCCTGCCATAGGCACCCCTGCATTCCTGCTGATGACCAGAGGGCTTCAGTAGTCTCACCTGGAGAGAGTGACCGGTTGTGGCTGGGCCTCATTTGCATGTGCTTTGCATATGCTTTGCATAACCACCTACAAGCCACATTGAGCAGGGAAGGTGGGGTGCAGAGAGGACTGGCCCTGGGGCCCCCTGAGAGCTGACCTCTGCAGATGTTCTGGGGGTTGGGGCTCCTTGGGGACCAGCTCCACCTGGTGCCAGTCTCCCCAGGCCAGGTTGGGGATGCAGCTCTGGGCACAGTGAGGGTGGAGGTAGAGGCTTCCCTCCCCAGACACGGCTTCTCCCTTCCTTTCCCTGGGAAAGGGGAGGCCGCCCTGCAAGCCCCAGGAACCTGCCCCAAGACCCTCCGAAGTTCAGGCCCTGCCTCCCTGCACTGAAGAGGCTGGGGTTGGGGAGCAAGTATCACCCACGCCTCAGAGTGAGCCCTAGATCTGAGGAGAGACAAGATGGGGAGAAGGGGAAGGGTGTCAGCTCAGAGGGCAGCCCTGCCCACTCTGCCATGTCCCAGCTTTCAGAAGTGGCTGAGAGGAGATGAGATGCCCCACTCCCCAGAGTGGGTCACAGAACTCGGGGTAAGTTTCTGGTCTGCCCACCTGGGAGATGCCCCTAGGGAGAGGCCTCCCCAGTGGCACCCACCACCCCAGGGCAGGTGGGGAGCAATGTCCCCTACCCCATGAGCCCGGCCGGCCCGGCCACCCTGCTGGGCCACATGGTGCCACAGGTCAGCAGGGGTCTTCAGGCCATGTGAGGAAGGTGTCTGGGCTGGTGGCCAGGCTGGGTGGGAGGGGTGGGGACAGGTGGAGCGGGGCGGGCGATTGGGCAACCCCAACCCCTCAGCGGGCTGCACCATCCCTGGCTGGAGCCGCCACTG